GGCCGGGGGTTTGCGAGGCCGAGCGAGCCCAGAGCGCAGTGCAATTTGCTGGACGAGGGTCGCGGGCTTCGGGCCTGGAGCAGCGAGCGGCAGGCGAGCGTGGGCGCCGTCGGGGCAGAAGCACAAACTGCGTCCCCAGTTCATGCGAATCGTCCGTATATGAGCCCGTTTGCGGTAGGCGCGGCGCCACCGTAATTGCAGCCGGTGGCTTTCCGCCTTCCCCTTAGTCCGCACGGCTCCCTCAGTAAGTCAAACTGTAGAATGGACGCCGGGGGCCCAGCGGGCAGAGGAGAAAGAGTGAGGGCGGCCGGGGAAGATAGTCACCCTCACTACCCTCTTCCTAGTCATCTTGAAGGACGATGCCCCAGATTACGCCCCTTATCGCTTCGAGAATGGCGCGGTCCAACCGCGTCAATCTTTCGCCGTTAGCGGCGCGACTCGAGGCGACAGTTCTGCCTCCGAGGTCACCACCTGTCTGGACAGCCTTTGGCCTCCAGCCCCCGGACGTCGACCCCCCAGGGAGGGGCGGGACAAGGCCAGTTTGGGACAGGTGAGTGAAATGACAAAGGCTTGGAGGGCATAACCCTTCTTTCCAAACAAAACCATATACAATTAAATAAACACACGCCTGCAGATGAACCTCTGGTGTTGATTTTGTGTATTTGTCAGCGTTATTGATTGGGAGCCCTCTCCATTAGAACTCTCTGTGCTAACGTAACCTCTGTCCCAATCTTCAAAGGGCTTTACTTAATATTCTGCACTGAGGCTAGTTATTTGAGTCCAGATCTTGGATGCCACTTATAGGTTGATTTGGGATGACTGATTTCACCTCTTTTCTACGTTTCCGTATCTGCAAAGTGGATCCAGGAATAGTAACACTGTACAGGGGTTTGTGAGGATTAAAAGAAAGTACAGATTAGTACTACGGCTATTACTGTATTACTATTATTGGGACGATGATATAGATAAGAAAAGAGAGAGTCACTGCTTGTTTGAGAGGCAGAATAAAGGTAATAACTTGAAAATACCTGTGTAAAATATACCATATGTACAAAAGTAGAACAAATGGGGTGCCTAATTGCTGAAGGAACATAGAGGAGTATAGTCAATTAATATAGAAGGCCTAACCACTCAGTATATGGTGAATGAATGAATGGAAGCCTTCTCAAAAATATTGAGCCAGGTCTTAGAAGATTTATTGGATATCACCCAGCAGAACAAAACAGAGGAGAGAGCATTCTGAAGGCTAAAAAATTGTATGCTGGAGAATAGAAATGAGAATTTGCTCAGATCCCTTGCGAAGGCAAGCTGATAAGCTAGGTTAAAGCAGGAGTACAGTAATGAAAGATGAGTCGAGAAAGAGGCCGAGAGTGCCAAAGATTGTTTAAATTTGTCACCATTGGTCTGGAGTGGGGAATCACTAGTCCACCTGTCAGGCCCAGCAGCTCTTGGCCAGCTCCCAATCAGCTGTCAGTCAAGTATCAGAAGATGAGGGCTCTGCTTTAGCCTAGGGTTTAAAATGTCACACATCCATCCCTTCCAGGGTAAGATTCCAAAAGGCCATAAGACCAGCTTTTTGAAACATCGTAAAAAGATGTGACAGCCCTGCTTTTCATAGTAAGTTTTTTATTTTCCAATGGCAAAAAAAATTTCAGGAAGATCTCTCTTCAGATTTTAAGTAGGAGCTTTCTATAGCTATAGGCAGTTACATCCTTTCTTAACGGAGTTACCCCCCACCCCCAACGATTTAGTAGAAGAGATTGTTTCAAGTGTTCCATGTTTGTAGCTCTAATAGCTCATATGTGTAAATTTCTTTGCATCTGTCTGACTTCTGAAGTTTGTGTTTTGTGGTTTTTGCTTACCCTCTGTTTCTAGGGGTCTCCAAACTCCTCTAGTTTGAGCTCCTCAAGGCGGGAAAGGATTCATCTTTATATTCTAGCTGTATCCTTAGTTTCTGCCACAGGAAAATTTTTGTTGATATAGCACCAGGAAAGTACTAACAGGGTCAGGTAATGTCATTTATCTTATTTAAATTTCATCAAATTAGAGAAAGAAGTTGGCTTATTCATCAAAATCTGGTAAAACTAGAGGACCCAGGTCAGAACACAGCTCCAATTATATTTTAAACACTCCTGTGGTTAAAGAAATTATAAAGACTTTTGTTCCTGAACCATATTATGGTTTTTGGTTTTGTTTTTTTTTTTTGAGACTCATTACTAATGAGCCCTACTGTGTATGAATACAAACATTACCTCATTTATTCCTCATTAAAACCCTTTGGACGAGATTTTATCCCTTTTATGGAGACTGAGCTTCAGAATGGTTGTCATTTTCTTCTCACAATAATTTTATATCATGACCACTGACGTCTCCTCTAAGTTTCATGAAACAATGCTCGCCCTTACGGTGTGCAATGCACTGGTATTTTCTATTCTATTTTATCTCACTTTTAAAAAAGTTTTGCTTCCTGGTAAACCAGTTTCACAACCCACTAATGGGTTGCAATCTACCGTTTTAAAAAACTGGACTAAATGAAGTTCAAAATCATATGGAAGGCAGTAAAGCTCAGATTTGAACGAAATTCATGTTCTTTCCAGTAAACAGATGCCTCCTCATGAATATTTAAGAAATACTACGTTATATATATGTTATGCTTAGCTTTATCTCAGGATGGAGCCAGCAAAGGAGGAGCCCTACTAGGAATTGAAACATGAGACAAAACAAATATGTAAGAACACTAATTCTCCCATTTAGTATGTGAGTGAATGTGGCATTTGATTTCTAAAGAACGTTGATTTTATCCACAAAAATAAGCAACAAATTCATTTATTTGGGGTCATAGATTAAACATATAGAGTGCGTCTTGGCTTAATAGCAAAATATTTCAAATTTTAGTAAATTATAAATTATCTTTAATTTCATTTGCAAGAGGGCTAGAAGGAAAGACGACACTGAGGGACAGGGTGTCGGGGAGAGGATACGGAACGGCAGAGAAGCAGCGGTGGTCCCCCAAATCCGACTTTAGCCCTTCATCTAACGAACTAAAGGTTGCCTGAACTACGAAATCATGTTTCATGTTAGATTTTTAAAATACAGTTTTCAAAATAGACTAAAAACTCTGTAACATTCATGTAAATCTCAAAATCATCCAGCGCCCTAGTCTCCCAAAGTGACTGGACACGTCCCCACGTCCCCACGTCCCCACGTCCAGTCATGGTGAGGACCCTATTTCCTTGGATGCTACTATCTATGCTATCACCAGTGGCTTATTTTTCCATATGCCTGTCACCTCTAATGTGTCAGCAGCTTGGTCTAGTCCCTCATCTCCCCCTGCATGGATAATGCCAACAGCGCCTGGCCGGTTCCCTTTGATTCCAGTTCCTCTGTCCTTTACTGCAAACTTTATACCTTTCGTTCAGTCAACAGGTAACTGTGATGGTGTGTGTTCTTCTAGTTTATTTCTCACGATTGTCGATACACGTCTCTTCACCTTGACAGGTCTCTTTACTGGGTTGTACTGCCATACCTACCTATATTCATTCACATCCCATATCCTCAAACCCCTACTTCCCCTGGAATACCCTCCTCTTTTTCACCTGAGGTCTACTTACCTTTAAGGCTTAACTCAAGCCTAGCTTTTCCATGAAGCCTTCCCAGACTACTCAGCCTGAAGCGATCTCTCTGAATTTACATTCAGCTCTTATGCAGTAGAATGAGTACCATGATTTAACTCTTTTTACCATGTGTTATGTTGTTCCGTTCTTGCTTTCTGAGTTAGACCTGCCCAGCTGACTCCTACTCACCTCTCCTGGGAAGTCATCCCTGATTTCTGTCTGAGCCACGTGCTCTTCTGGGCTCGCACAGCTCTCGTGCCTACTGCTAACATACCTCAAATCGTGCTGGGATCCTTACCGACTTGAAGGCACGGCCTAAGTCAACTAGCTTCTAACAAGTGCCTAGCACTTAAAAAAAACAAGAAGGAAAATATCAAAACCGCAGTAATGGATTGCTACTTCTGACAGCATGGATAAGAGAAAGGGCTCTCCCATTAAAATACAACTAGATCCTGGACAAATTACAGCAAGCTTGATATTTAGCACGTCGCTGGGCTTGCTAGAAAGGGAAGTCACCAAAGGAAGAAAAAGTAACATTAAGTTGAGACCTATATGAAGGATAGACCAACATGCAGTAGGAAAAGCAGGTTTGCCCTGGGGACAAATGTCAATGTCAGTCTTATGAAGAGAGCTGAACCTTGCGTCTAGCCAGGAAGGGAAGGAAACCTGGGACCCCTGCTTTAAACCAGGACTCCTGATGAGGCTAATGCAGCCCCAGGTCAGGAGGGCCTGTGGCTCTGGGCAGAAGCAAATGCAAATCCTCTCTGGAGGAAGCTATTCTCAATTTAGGCCCTCTGGATTCCCAGGGATTAAGTTTAACAAAATATGAGTTCAGAACCCCAGAATACAAAATATATAAGACACAAGCTACCTTGGCAAAACAACAAAACAGATTTGGACATGTGAGGTAAGTTACAGAATATTAAATAACAATCCAACACATTTCAAAGAACTGGTATCATAGAGACCACATTCTCTGAGCACAAATGGTTAAGCTGGAAATATAAAATGTAAATTTTTCAATATCCAGACATTTGGAAATTTAGAAAACTTTTCTAAATATTTCATGAATCAAAAAAGTCACAAGGGTAATTTAAATATTCTTAGAACTAAATAATAACTAAAATACTTTACAACAGAAAAACTTGGGTAGAGAAGCAGGTCCTTAAAATAGGCGGAAAAAAGACAGCTTGAATATTAATTAGATAAGTGTCAAAACTGAAATGTTATAAAAGAACACAAATTAAATCTAAAGAAACCAGAAGAAAAATACTATAGATAAGATCCATAATTAATGAAATGGAAAACAAATACATAAAGATGATCAACAAAGCCCAAAGTAGTTACTAAAGACAGACAAGTAAAATGACAAATTTCTAGTACAAATGATCAAGGGGGAAAAAAACACAAGTCAAAGCAGAAATGAAAAGGACATGACTATCCAGGGCAGAGGCAAAAAAGAACATAGAAGAAATTTCATTTTTAAAAAAGGACATAAAATGCACAAAATCCTAGGGAAACACTTTACCGAAGTTGACTCAAGAAGAAATAGAAAGCCCACGTAGCCTATAATTATTTAAAAAGTTGAATCAATAGTTAAAATTTTTCCCACAAAGAAATATCAGGCTGAGACAGCTCAATGGGGGAGAGTTTCACCGAACTTTCAAGGGACGGTTCATTTCAATCTGATGTAAATTCTCTCAGAGAATAAGACAGGAGGGAACAGTTCCCAACTCAGAGGGTGTACAGATCAAAAGAACCATCTCAGAAGACTTTTTAGAAATCTTACTGAAAACAAAGGCACTAACATGTACGGCATAGCAGCATTGTTTGTAATAGCGAAAAACTGGAAACAACCCAAAGTCCATTGATAGGTGAATGGATAAAAACTTGTGGTTTGCACGCTTGGTGGACTGTCACATAGATGAACATGAATGAGTCATAGCTATCTACGACATAGACGAACCTTAGAAATAACGGTACATCAAAGAGAGCGAACTACATGGTACTATTAAAAACTTTTTGTAAAGCTAAAAAGCAAAACGGAACAATAGATTTTTAAGGGCATATCCATGTACGGTTATATACATAGGAGATAATTAATAAAGACAAAATTAGGGGAGGTAGTTGCCTCTAGGGAGAGGCAGGGGATAGGATAGGAGAGGAACACAAGGAAGTCGATGGTTTTTCTAATGTTTTAATGGATACGTTGGGTGATGGGTCATAGGTAGTCATTTAATTATTAGGCTTCATAACTTATTCATGTTAAATATATTCTTTATAGATATCGAACATTACATATTATACTTTTTAAAACTCTGCTGTGGCGGAACGAAATGAACAAGTTAAGTCTCCCTGAAAGCAAATCTGTGTTTCTGGGGAAGAGCCAAGATTCCCTGACAGAAGCTACCCCTACGCAGAAGCCAAAGTGAGTCCTCAGGAAATGCTGGCCGGCGTCTGCTTTTCCCGAGGGTGCACCTGGAGCGTCTCGAGTCCCTTTCTATGGGTGCACAGAGCCACCTCCTTCCACAGAGCTGACCTACCCCACAATCCTGGCTAGTCCTGACACATGTATGACAAGAGACTGACACCTGGTGGATACAGGATGAATTTAATAAGATGACTAGAAGTTAATCGCTCTGTTTGGTGGAAACGGGCAGTGGGGTGGGAGATGGGGAGGCGGAGATGCGGAGAAATGAAAGCTGAGAGACAGCAAAGGAAGGGGCTCCATCTCGGAGACAAAGGTGGGGAAAAGGGACCGTCATCTGAGTGAGACTAAAGAGCCAGCCCCTACAGGAGAGTGACTTCCCTCTCGTTTCCTCCGAGAGCAGAAGAAGAGGAGAGAGTGTACGGCTTGTCGTAAGGAGAATGCAGGACTGAGGAGAAAAGCAGGTAAAGCCGAGGCCAACCCAGCAAGCCAAGGCCACGTGTAGTGCATGGTAGTGGCCGGTGTCAGCCGCCTCCCCAGAACGTCCTCCCAGTTTCCATTCGGGGATCTCTGTGATTCTAAGGAGGCGGATCCCACCCTTTTTTTCCCACAGGTGCAGTCCACGATGTAGAATAAGTAAGTAAATTAGCGTATACCATCCCCCTGGCCACAGGGATTCACTAGGGGTGGACAAGGGACACGGGCTGGCCTCACGAGCGAATGGGGGTTTTTACTGGGAGTCCTGGCACAACGATGCCCTCTGTTTCTGGCTGGGCATAAATGAGGAAACCTGTAATTCTAGGCATGCTGGCAGCCACAAGCGGCCCAGGCTTATGATCCCACGGAAGGCAGAGCAGCGGGCGGGGTGCGGGGGAGTCAACCCGGGACTTAGAGACGCCCAGGGCCACCGATCAGCTTGACCTGGAGCCAGCACGGCCTCTGGACTTTCCAGTTACGTGAGCCATAAATGATTATCTTTAAGCCAGTCTGAGTTAAGTTTGCTATGACTTCGAACCAAACGGTCCTTATACATTCATCATACTCCACCCGTCTTCCCACGGGATAGCACGGGGATCTAGGTAAGGTCACTAGAGAGTTATGAGTGACTCCAAAGCCAAGGGTATTGAGCTGAAAAGGTGAGAGGCAGGAAGCAGGCACCATGCGAGACAGGGAGCCTCAGCCGTCTCTGCAGAGGAGCGGGAAATCCCTTCGGAAAAGAAGAGCCAGGTGAGAAGCAAGTGCAGAGAAGGGGCTCGACTAGGCCGACAGGTGGAGTCCACGCCTGAATATGAACGC